GATGATGCCAGTGCTGGATCCCTCGCCAGTCAACCCGAAGGTGTTCTGGTAGGCTTTCATCGCGTTGATGGATCCCATGAGGGAGCTGTCGAAGCCGTTGAGCGTAGAGACGAGGTAGCCAACGCCCATGATCATGTAGAGCTGGATCATGCCGCGAGACCATAGCTTCGGCTTCTCTGCCTCGATAGCAGCGGCTGTATGCTGTCAGCGCACTCTTCCCGTTGTCTCAGATATGATTTTGACTTACTGAGAGCTACGGAAGCTACATTGGCCTCCTTGACGTTCGCATGCTTGTTCATGTCATCGTCAACTGCACTCAGCTGGTGCGTCACAGCGCCCATGTCTTCATTCTTCTCCGCCATCTTGAATGTGTCGCTGGCAAGGACTGGAGAAGATCTGGAGGTGTGGAGCAGAAAAACGGGAAAGCTCTCCACTTGATGGCCGATTTGCAACGATGCGCAAGCTTTCCGGAATACTGGGTCTCTTTATAGTATACAGGCTTCTCCGCAAAACAAGTAGCGCCTGCAGGTAATCTTACCCCATGGCACCGAGGTATCTGCTCTACCTTCCTGACCCGATGCATGGTTTCTGCTCTGCATGCAAACTGTTGCGCTCAGGCGCCACCCGGTTGGCCAAGTATGCTTGTTGTACGGCAATAGCACCGCATTAGGGGCGGAATATTAGCGGGATTACTGGGAAATTTTCAACTTCCAAGCTCGCTATACCATGATGGTACCAAGGCCAAGTAATAGGGCCTTCTGCAGGGGCGGGCCCAGGTCCAGAAGCAGGCCGGTTAGCGGACGGACCTCCCAAATTGTACCAGCTCTGGAGCGCCACGCGCGAAGTCTTTACGAAGGAGATGAATCAAGAATTGAGCCGGTCGGTTTGGCATTGAATCGTGATGAACCAGGCGAGGGTTAATGTGGTGTAGCTGCGCTGGGCAGGCGGGGTGTGGGGATGGATTCCTGGAGTAAAGCCAGCCGAGTTGGGCAGCCGCCCCGTTGATCAGACCCCTTGGAAGGGAAACCAGACACCTACCTCTGCGAATACAATCGTAAGAAAGTTAATACTCCTGCAGTGCCTCTATGTGTTATAGAAAGGCGTTCTGAAATCATTACAAGCTGCAAGGCGCCTGTTCAAAGTTTTCCAAGGTTCCCTCCAACGGAGTCGGAGTGATCAAGCGAAGAACCCCCGCTCGCGCTTGCGCCCGGACGTCGCCCCATCAACCCCCCGATGCGAGCCCTCCCCAGCTCCAACATGCAACATGCGCCGTTTATTGCCGACACGTTCCTTAGTCCTGTCACCTGAGAAGCAGATGGAACGTCCTCTTGGCATCTACGACATGTGGGCGGACGGCTTCCCTGATCAGTCCAAGTCGCGCTGCCTACCGCAGTACGGCCGCCTTACTGTGGGGTGTCGACAGCTGTATCAAAGATAGACGACGTAGAGCAGTGGTTCGTGGAAGTACCATCAACTTTCAATTCATCCATCATGTCTTCAGGTCAACACCCAGCGAGCGTTCCAGACTGGAACAACCTCGATATCCTCCACAAGAACACGCTGCCTGCGCGCGCATACTTTCACAACTACGCATCGGAGGCTGATGCGCTTAGTTCCGATGTGAACAAGTCTACAACCCACAGTCTCTCCGGCACGTGGAAGTTCCAGCATTCATACTCGCCTTTTGAGGCTCCGGAAGGATTTGAATCGACTACATTCGACACATCATCATGGAGCGACATTGCCGTGCCAGGCATGTGGCAGCTGCAGGGCTTCGGAAAAGGCCCGCAATATACCAACGTAATCTATCACATTCCGGTTGATCCCCCCAACGTGCCTTTTACCGAGAACGAGACTGGTTCCTATGTTCGTAAGTTCAAGGTCCCGAAAGATCTCCAGGACGGTCAGCTTCGACTCCGCTTTGAGGGTGTCGACGCCGCTTTCCACGTCTGGGTGAATGGTAAAGAAGTTGGTTATTCTCAGGGTAGCAGAAACCCTGATGAATTTGATATTACTCCGTTCGTCGATCTCAATGCTGAGAACACCCTGGCTGTTAGGGTGTACCAGCATTGCGACGGAACGTACATCGAAGACCAAGACCAGTGGTGGCTGAGTGGCATGTGAGTATGGTCTGTCGTCGAGATGAACTGAAACTCATCATCATAGATTCCGTGACGTCTTCCTGGTTGGCTTCCCCAAGGCTTCCCGAATCGAGAACGTCTTTGCCCAGACGCTTCTGGATTCACCCTACACTGATGCCGAACTCAAAGTCAAGATCAGTGCGACTGGCTCTGGCAAGGTTGCAGTAAAGCTGCTGGACGCAAAGAAGCAAGAAGTCGCTTCATCCGACGCGGATATCAAGGGTGATGGTGTGACTGAACTTAGTATCCAGATTAAGGACCCACTCAAGTGGACTGCTGAGTCGCCAAACCTCTATCATCTTGTGGTCTCTTCCGGCGATCAAGTTATTGCCCAACGCATCGGCTTCAGACAGGTCGAGATGAAAGATGGACTTATCAAAGTCAACGGTAAGAGAGTCGTGTTCCGCGGAGTCAACCGCCACGAACATCATCCCACTCTTGGTCGTGCTGTGCCGTATGAGTTCATGAAAGAAGATCTTCTTCTCATGAAGCGTCACAACATCAACGCCATCCGCACATCTCATCAGCTCAACGACCCACGTCTGTACGACCTCGCAGACGAGATGGGTTTCTGGGTCATAGATGAAGCCGACGTGGAATGCCACGGCTTTGAAAGTATCGCCGATGCCGCGCTGTCGAAGGAGGAGCGCAACCTGCCGTTCCGTGAGCGTCAGCTTATAACTAGGGATAAGGCCGCGGAATGGACGACCGACAACCCAGACTGGACGAAGGCGTATGTGGACCGTGCGGAAGCACTCGTTAAGAGAGATCAGATGCATCCATCGATCATCATTTGGTCTCTTGGCAACGAGGGCTTCATGGGACGAAACTTCGTGGCCATGTACGAGCACATCAAGAAGTACGACGATAGCCGGCCTATTCACTACGAAGCGGACATCTACGCGGATACCATGGACATGTACTCCAGGATGTATCCCCCGCTCGACGAGATTATCAAGTTTGGTCAAGACAAGGAAAAGAAGAAGCCATTGGTGCTTTGTGAATACGTAAGTTACGCCATGTTGATCCTTAGGTCTATGACTCACCGTATTAGATCCACGCCATGGGCAACGGCCCCGGTAACATCAAAGAGTACATCGATGCTTTCTACAAGTACCCAACTTTACAGGGAGGTTTCGCTTGGGAATGGGCGAACCACGGTCTTCTCACCAAGGACAAGCAGACCGGCGAAGAATTCTACGCCTATGGTGGTGATTTCGGCGAAGAGGTTCACGACTCCACCTTCGTCATGGACGGCCTCGTCAACTCCGACCATTCGCCCAACGCTGGGTTGATCGAGTACAAGAAGGCTATCGAGCCCGTGCAGCTTCTAGAAGTGAATGATTCAAAGGCCACGTTCATCAACCGATACGACTTCATCACGCTCGATCACTTGATCTGCAAATACACATCAGTCTCCTCTGCATCCTCTGATGGGGTTACTGGAGATCTGCAAATTCCTTCTGGTATCTCGCCTGGCCAAACCTTTGAGGTGCAACTTCCAACGATCGAAGCTCGCGAGGAGGAGGTCTTGGTTAGTATCTCGTTCCAATTGAAGGAGGCTACACCATACTTGAAGGCAGGATTCGAGATCGCAACAGCACAGGTGCCTGTTGCTCCAGTGTCGTCCTTGAAGAAGCCTCAATCATCAGGCAAGCAAGTCACTGTCGAGACAACATCCCGCAACACTCTCAAGATTACAACGGAACAAGCCACGTGGGAGTTCAACACCCTCCATGGTAGTCTCACATCCTGGAAGCAAGGCTCGACCGAGCTCATCGCCAAAGCGCCTGAAATGGATATCTTCCGCGCTCCTACCGACAACGACATCCCACAAGACGGCTGGGACTGGAAGGACAAGCAACTTCACCACGCAAAGCCATTGACCCGCAAGGTCGAATGGTCACAATCAGGCTCAGACACTTTCAAGGTCACCGTGCACCAACGCGTCGCACCTCCCGTCCTTTCATGGTCCATCGACTGCGCCCTTACATACACATTCAGCGCCAACGGCACCCTATCCGTCCACGTCACCGGCACACCCAAGGGCGAGAACCTACCCCGCACCCTCCCCCGCATCGGCCTCGTCCTAGAACTCCCCGCGCAATTCCAACGTGTCGAATGGTTCGGCCGCGGCTTCGGCGAAACCTACCGCGACAGCAAGCTCTCCCAGCCCGTAGGCAAATACACAGCATCCAGCATCGACGCCCTCTGGGTCGACTACGAAGTACCCCAAGAATCGGCGAATCGCACAGATACCCGCTATGTCAGCGTTACGAATGGGAGCGGCGCGGGATTGCTCGCTCAGTTTGCGGATAAGAAGGGTGGGCAGAGGAAGTTGTTTGACTTCCAGGTTAGCCATTATAGGATGAAGGATGTGGCGGCTGCGGACCATCCGCATGAGTTGAGGAGGAAGAAGAGGGAGGAGGTTGTGCTGAGGTTGGATGCGGAACATCATGGGTTGGGGAGTGGGAGCTGTGGGCCGAGGACGCTGGATGAGTATAGTTTGCTGTGCGAGCCTTTTGAGTTTGAGGTTGTGTTGCAGGCTCCGTAGGTTGATGTCGTCATTCAGGACACAGTTCGACGAGGCGGAATATAGACCAACAGTTCATCTTGTGACGGTATATTCCAGATTTTTCAATTCTGACAGGTTGTTGGCTTTATACATCTACGATTCCGATGTCGTATGTTGTTGTAGGCGGGTCGCGGTAACCTTGCGGGCGTCCTTCCACGTGCGCTACTGCTCTTTCCCTCACCTTCACCTGTCGCGACTGCCAGATTTTCGCCCACTACCACTAGCTGTTTTCCACCTCACAACCTCCACGCTTTCTGATTCTTATCTTCTCCAAGGTCAACATCATGGCGAGTGGAACGAAGAAGCGACGAGTAAGTATTAACGCAACTGCTTTAGCTCTTGTCAGTCACAATGAAGCGGCTGCATCTCAGTCGCGACCAAGCTAACGATTGGCAGAAGTCGCAATCTCCAGCCCGGGGTACAGCTTCGAAGCGCGCGCGTGTTACCTCCAAACGTACCCAACACGACGAGCCTGATCCGCACTCGTCGCGCGCTGGGTCTGTCAGAAACACACAGGCGACGTCGTTACCCACCGGAGAAGACTGGGTGTTCCGCGTAAAAGTCATCTCGTCTGCGACAGACCTTCGCAATGGTCTATTCAAGAACGCAGTACAAGGGCTTGTCAGAATCTGCTTCCCCAACGACATCCTGAACCAGCTGGGGTCTGATGTACTGGAACAGCATATGCGCGAAGAGAACGCCCCGGAAGAGAACATACGCAGAATGACAGAGATGTTTCGTGCCGAGATGACGCAGCGTATGGTCTCCATGCTGGCCGACAATCTCGACACCGCTGCCAAAGTAGATTCTGTGCTGAAGGCTATGCTGACTGCGAGCGCAAAGGCCCACGGTGACGATCTTGGAGAAGATATTTTGGGCTATGTCACTGCTAGCTTACTTCAAATGCAGGCGTTGGCTCCAAAACACTCAACACAATGGCTAGTCAATGGTGACGCAGTACAAGAAGACAGCAGTGGTGGAGATGTTAGTGGCAGCGACGCCTCTGACGAAGAGCCTACGCCACCACCAAAGGTGAAGAAGCATAAGAAACGGAACAAAGAATCGGAGCGAGCGCGCCCAAGTGCCGAAAGTTACACTCCAGGCACCGCTAGGATGCACAGCAACTTGCCAGCGGCTTCATTGAAGCAACGCACTTCGAAGGGCAAAGATCGGAAGATCTCTTCTAAGTGGCAATGGGATATTGAGGCGTCAGATCTCACAGAAGACGACGTATCCAAGACTTTCTTCCGCACGAGCGACCTGTTCGCATATCACGCCTTACCGATTTCTCAACGCAAGCTCGGACCCAGTGCATCGAAGAAAGAGATTAGGTGCGAGATGCAGTCGCTACTTGATGGCATGCCTCAAGAGGAGTTTGAGAAGTGGGTCGAGAGTCTACAGAAACTACTCGATGGCGACCGCGATATGCTGGAGCGACAAGAATCACAAACTTCTGGTCACCAGCAGCAGTTGAGTCGTGTAACGCCGGCGCCTGTGGACATACGCAAACGGCCCAAGAAGTCACCAAATGTATCGGCTGGCGGTAGAACGATAGCAAAGACGTACGACAGGGAATATGACCCACCTCTCCAAGAAAACAGCGCGATAAAGCGCGAGACTGCTGACAATGGAAGTACTCTGTCGGGTTCGCTTAGAGAAGTAGCGCTGGGATATCACATTGATAAGGCCACGGCAGATCTCCGAGAGTTATCAACTGAAGATCGTAACCTGGTTGGGCAATATTGTGGTGCAGAAGCGGCAGGAGAAAACAACGCTACACGAATGACCAAGGGTTTCGAGAGCCGTGGTTTGCCTATTCTCCAACTGCTTTGGGGCTCTGACAATTTCACCACCGAACAATGCTTCAGTGGCTCAAAAGATATCGCACAGACCATTATGCACAACCTTCATCGGCGTGTCCCAGATGCAACCGTCAACGCGTTAGGCTTGGCTGGCGCGAGTACGACTCGCACCAAGTCCCAAGTAGAGCGCACTATCCTTGAGAGCTTCCCAAAGTCTGGAGAGCAGTTCAACTTCGGAAAGATCAAAAGGGACATTGAGTTAACTCTGACTCACTGGGTCCTTGCGAAACCGAAAGCGTTTCCTGAGCTGCGAAACGAATCTTTCCTGTTTGCACATCCGCTACCAGTGAGTATTCCATTTATCTATCACTTTTCACGTTTGCTTATGAAGCTCTAGACTCTTTTGATCACCATAAACCTTTTGTTTGGCTCATGGGAGTCACTTTCGAGGAAGGTTGGGCCGCAGATGTGGGGTACCATCTCACAGGCTTTCCTACAACGAGGCATCTCTATGGTATTATATTCTCAGCCCATTGAAAAAAAAGCGTGGTGACTGACTACGATGTTAGATGGAGCTCCACGCTGTGAACGTTGACTCTTCACAGATTGACAGCATCATCGGCAACCCTCGATTCCAAGACAAGGCTCAAAGAAGTTTGGTTGAACGAGCTCTGCGACGGGCTGTCTTTGCGTACAAGGACAAATTCCCAGAATTGAAAGACACGATTCTTGTAAAGACATGGGAGCAGAAGACAGGGTCGACGTGGTGAACCCTGGGCGAGATCGCATACCCGGTGTATCTTTGCAGCATACTCTGATGCGACGATGAATGGTATGGGTGGTGTCTAAACAGGAGTGATCAATTACGGAGAGCTTGGTGAGCAACTGCTCATCGGGCTTAATCAATGGGTACCATATGTCGCGCGGATTTTCGAACACAGGTTCAGGATATTCTAGGCCGGAACGCTTGTACATGTAGTTGACGGATCATGAGCTGATGACCATGCGCAGTTGGCTAATTGTTTTTTCAACTTGTGAGGAATATATCCACAAGCAATCCCATGAAACTTGTTCCGCATCCATCAGAATAACATGCTGTCAAGTTGAGAAGCCTGCTAATCTCACGACCAAGACGTGCGTGTAGTAGGCGCTCTGCATGCGCGTAGCATCAACCACGACAAACCATCACTCAACCAGGACAGAAAGTACGACCACACGAACTAGACATCATGTCATGGACCAGCAACATAAAACCAACTTCAACTTCAAATTGTACACAAAACGCGATTATACTACAAGTCTATGAATTACCCCCCTAACCCAAAACCCTGCCAGCAGTAGAAGCCGTGCTCCTATCCTTAGTCTCCACCTTCCTCAATCCCTTACCAGCAGTGATCTCACCGAGTAAAGCTCCACGGTTCGGTGCTCCACCCGGAGCCTTCATGCTAGGCATCGGTGGTGGGGGTGGTGCTCCACCAGCCGGAGGTGGCGGTGGGCCGGGAGGAGGCGGAGGTGCACCGTTCGAGGGCATCGGGGGAGGTGGGGGGATGCCTGCTGGAGGCGATGTCACGGCTGGGCTCTCTGCACGTGGGCTCTTGTTGTCCATGGAGGAGAGAGGGCGCGGTGGCGCCATGGTACCGAACAACATGGAGGCTAGCTGCTTGGCTCCACCTTGAGTAGGCGCTTCGTCGTCGTCGGACGAATCGTCATCTGAGTCGACGACGGACCAGTCGTCGTCGTCTTGCCTTCCCAGCCTGCGCGCTGAAGGTGCGGCGGGCTCATTGAATGTAGGCATGGCAGCCTTGTTGGCATTCTCTTGTGTCAGACGGTGGAAGGGGTTCGTGGAAACCTCGCTCGTGTTGCTAGGTGGCGGCGGGGGTGTGGAGACGGTGCTGTTCTCCTGGTTGGACATGGCCATCTTCTTCAAGAATGGGTTCTTGGTTTCAGTGTCGCCCATACCAGGGTGAGGACTAGTCACCGAGGACGTAGGCGGGCTGGCAATGGACGATGGTGGTGTGTTGTGCGAGATCTGGGGCATTGGTGGCGCTTGAGGAGGTGCTGTGTCACGCGGCAACTCCTGGCTGGCGGTAGGGGTGGTGTCTTGAGGCGTGATGTTCTGCGGGCCATCATCATCCGACGACTCGTCATCGTCGAGCGCCTCAAGCTGCATCTGTAGCTGACGTTCGCGTTCACGAGCAGCTTCAATCTCCGCACGCTGGGCAGCCAGTCGGGACTCCTTCTCTTTGGCGTCCTTGGAAGCAGCCGCTCTGCGCTTCTTCTCTTCGGCCTTCTTGAGTTTGCCCTGCTGGACTTGCTCTTCGAGGGCGCGAAGTCTGGCTGAAGCAGACTCGCGCTCCTTGGCCAATTCGTCCTCTTGTCTGCGTTCCTCATCCCTGATGTTTGTTAGCGCACTTTAAGAATATAACTCGAGGTATACGTACTCCATGCGCTTCGTCTCGGCTTCTTGGGCCTCCTGCTGTTCGCGGATAGCCTTCTCAGCCATATCGTTATCTGCCTTCTTCGACTCTGCCTCCGCTTGCTGAACGTCGTGCTGCGCAATCTCGTTCTTGTTCTTGCGCGAGGCTGGCGGTGGGGGCGCTGGCTTCTTACCACTGCTCTTGGATGGAGCGGGCGGTGCTGCAGATTCGTCGTTGAGACGTCTTTGACGCTCTTCCTCGCGACGCGCATCCTCCTCTTCAGCCTGGCGTAGCTTCTCTTCACGTTCCTTCTTCTCACGGTCGGCACGCTGTTGTGGTGTCTCGCCAGCCTTTACTGGAGCTTTAATGCCCAAGGCAGCCAGACGCTCGGCCATTCGCTGCTCAGCCTGCTGTTTGATGAAGGCCGCACGCTCCTCTGGAGTCTTGTATGCAGAGTACGATCCGCCAGCAGGCGTAGTTGTTGATGCGCGAGGAGGGGGCTCGACACGACCAGCCGGACTTTCATAGCGTGATGACGATGGTCGGTTGTCCTCTACACGAGCAGCTGATCTAGACCTGTAGTTGTCGCGAGATGAACTGTACGGAATTAGCATGATGCCTCTGAATGCTAATCGAATAGTACTTACTCGTCTTTGCGGATACGCGAAGCGCGACTGCTGCGCTGTAGATCAAAGATGAAGTCCTTAACGTCATCTTCGACACCCAGGGCTTCCTCCCATCTACGACGTTCGTGTTCACTTGTGTTGTCGTGTCCTCCCTCTTTCAGGCTTGACTCTAGACCCCTTGTGTATTCGTTCACGCTGTCTTCCACGTCGCGGATCATGCGCTCGTTGTTCTCTCTTTCTGCTCGGATGCGCGAAGTTTCCTTTTCCAAGCGCTCGGTTGCTGCGCCAGTGTCGTCACTGGCAGGAGCAGGCCTTCCTGTCAAGGCAGCAGAGCGTGCTTGCATCATAGCCTTGGCGCGGGCTTTCAAGCGATCCGATTCAGTTACGGCACCGCCAGGTCCAGTGCCCACGATGGTAGATGCAGATCCGGGATGCGCCTTCGCGTCTCTGAGTCTGAAAAGTTCGAGCTGGGCGTCTGCGATTTCACGCTCAGTTCGGCGCACGTTGGACGCAAGTTCAGGCAGGCGATCAGTCAAGGTCTGGAGTTGGCGCTTCAGGGCACGACGCTCCGCATCCGAGTCAGCTGATCTCAACGAAGCCTTAGGGTGAGCATCAATGTCTTCTTGTACCCTGCGGATGCGGCGATAGAGATCTTCAGCCTCTCGGCGATCTCGACGGTCCAGCGCATCATCCTCGTCAGCGGCGTTCTCGTCTTGTGTGTCCATGGCATCCAACAAGATTTGCTTCTCTTTGACTGACTTCCTGAGCTGATCAAGGGACATTTCATCAGACCGTTCAGAGGATGGTGAAGCCGGCTGCGCTGGTGAAGGCGAGCGACCACCACCTCCGAGGCGATGTCTGGCGCTCGACTTGTAGCCTACGTTATCGTCATTGTTACGGAATACCGTAGCATCCTTTCGGCCGCCAGCTTGTGGGCTACCAGCACGGAATGAGTGGGACTTCAGGTAGCTGACACCAGTGCGCTGGGGCTGGAGGAAGGCACCAGAGTTCTTCCTGTCCTCGGCATCTCCACGCAGCAAGTTCTTCATTGCGCCAATAGAGTCATTGATGTTGCGCGTAGAAGGGGGGACCAACTCCGGGGGGAGACGGGCTGGAATGGGATAGCCGTTGAGCTTACGGTAGATCAAATGCATAGCAACGGCGAATTGGTCCAAATCAAGACGACCTCTGTCGGCAGAGTCGGCAAGTGTCCATATGCGCTCCAAATCTGGCTTGGGCAATCCACTCTGTCCAAAGATTTCAAGAGCTTGAGCTCCGCTAATGTAACCCTTGGTCATGCCGTCCCAGGCCTTGAAGGTGTCGTCGTACAGCTTCTTCTCTCCCTTTGTAATAGCCCACGGAATTGTCGCGTTACCGGTCAGTCCAGCAGTCGTATGGTTGCCGCCCTCTCGGCCCGTCTGGGGCATCATTCGTTGCGCCAAAGCCTCGATGTTCGGCAGTCCGGTGGCGGGGGTGTTCGCTAGACCCCACTGACCAGGCATGCCCGTTGGCTGCGCATTGAGAGGAGCCATGCCGGTCTGGTTGGGTGCGAGGTTCGAGCCGAAGCCAGTGGGCATAGGAGGCATCGGTGGACGTGGTCCGTTATAACCACCTGGAGCTTGTCCGAAGCCAGTGGGCTGTGGCTGCATACCCGTGGGCTGCTGGCCGAAACCCGTAGGCTGTGGTTGCATGCCTGTTGGTTGCTGTCCGAAGCCAGTCGGCTGTGGGGCTAAGGAGCCTAGCAACTGGCTGTTTGAAGGTTGTGGCTGCGGCTGCTGAATTGTAGGAGGCTCGTTGAACTTGGGGGCGTTGGTGGCCGGCGTTTGGCGGTTCGACGATTCGTCCACGACTCCAAACGATATAATGTCCACCATGCTAGAGACCTCATTCTTGACTCGTTCGGGCAGGGAGTTGGGCAGATCCTTTCCGGTCAGCTTGAGATTGCACAAGTACATGGCGAGGGCGAATTCGGGGAAGAGGAGCTGGCCAGACTTGGTCGTGTCCGCAAGGGTCCTGCGTCTGTTAGAATCGGGCCACGTATGCGATTTGTGCAACATACCAGATGTGCGAAAGCGCGTCCCCAGACAGCTTGGAGCGCATCAGGAGATCCCGCGCCTGGTCGCCAGACAGCGCCTGGGAGTCTCCCACGGCCGACTTGAACAGCTGCTCGAACTTGGCCTGGTCTTGCGCCGTGATGAAGGAAAGCCTTATGCTCGGGATCTTGCTGCTCTTGGCCGGGACAGGCGGTGGCACGGAAGACGCAGAGCTGCCGCGGAATGAATCAGCCATCTGCGCCGATGTCATGCCTGTGGGCTGCGGCCGCTGTGGTTGGGCAGGCGGTTGCTGCTGCTGCTGCTGTTGCGGCGGCGCGCCAGTCTGGAAGGGCATTTGCTGGGGAGCCTGCTGCTGTTGCTGGAATTGCTGGCTCTGCTGGCCTGGGAAGCCCGTGTACTGCGGTTGCTGCGGTTGCGGCTGCTGTCCGAAGCCCTGCGGCTGGCCCGGGAAGCCAGTAAACTGTTGCTGCATTGGTTGCATTGGCCCTCCTCCGAAGCCCGTCGGCTGAGGTGCCAGTCCGCCCTGGAAGCCGCCGGGCTGCTGGAAGGGCTGCTGTTGCGGCTGCTGCCCATACTGAGGCTGCCCCGGTCGGGCACTGTTCCCACCCCCTAAGTACGAGTTGGACCCAGAGAACATGGCAGGCGAGGTGTCGCGGGTCGATTAGAAAAGGAG